AAAAGGGGGTGACAGCCTACACAAGCGGAAGGCTATCACCCCCTCGTTTCGTCACAAAAAACTATTTGGTAACAAACCGAGAGCTTCTCGCGGCGGTCATGCAATTGACACACTGTCGTCACTTCCTGCTGGGACGAAAGCTTGTGTTGCGAACCGACCACAGCAGCCTTCAATGTCTGCTCACCGGCGTGGTGCCTGCCCAAACAGGTGAGCCAAATTACCGCATTCAGCTGTACAGCGGCAGGCACAGGAAACTGGTGGTCCATCACAATTGGTTGAGCCGCGTAACGGTGACACTGCAGATCAACAGCCACGGTCGACAACACCAACACGCCGGACTGCGCCGGTCGCGGCGCCGCACAGCCAAACAGCACAGTCGCAGCGTCAGGTACCGACTCAGACAGTCACACCAGCAACGGCTGTACCCATGTCCACAGGTGGACAGCAGACAGCTGTACCGGCTGGGCCAGCAGTACCACTATTGTGTCTGCCAGTGACGCAGGGGCCAACGTGGCTGGGCGTCCGCCTGAGGAGGCCAGGAGTTTCGCTCCAGCCCAAGCCGCGGCAGCGAATCAGCTGGCGGGGGCCGAAGCTCCGAATCCCACACCAGCCCAGGCCGCGGCTGAACCGTCTGACGAGCCAGCGACAGCAGCGGAACAGACCCCCGGCCCTACCTCGAAGCGCAGGTCACGCATCCCACGGCCCACGTCACCACTGTTCCTCCGTGACCTGACGCGAACCAAAGAATCACCACCAAGTTCGAGCCCTCATTCTAATGCGTCCAGGTCCCAGATCCCAATGTCCGCAGGGCAACCGTCTTCGAACGGTCACCGCGAACAACGGAGCGCCCGCGTCAGACGGCCTCCAGATCGATTTAGCCCATGACTGCGATAGCTAGATGCACAAACATGATTTATGGTGTATTTGTAATGTTTTTGATAACATGCTTTTCAGGTTAGTTACAATGACGTAGCAGATATCACTTAATGGCCTCTCTTACTGTGCGCATTATGTTAGGTTCTTGGGATGTGTTCATTATGCCATGGATTTGTTCATTATGGCATGATTGAATGATTCAACTATGAGGGCATTCTTATTTTAAGAAGAGTGTAGTGTAAGGTGTCGGAGAACACCCATGTGCTAGCCAGTAAATGTTTGCGTAGTTTGGCGAGCGCCGCTTAGAGACGCTCGCATTCCCTCCTCCTTCCCCAGGCCCCCGTGCGAGGGCGTGGCCGCGGGTGCCAGGGGAGGAGGTAGTAACGAGAAGGTTCTGAGAGCCGCCGGTGCAAGGACGGACGTGCAGGCGGGACGTACTGTGACAAGTGCTTGTGACGAGTGTCAAATACAGAAGTGACTGGAGATAGCGTGCGTACCAGTAAGCCGGAGGCGAGACACCGGAACAGCAGAATTTACTTATGCACAATACCTAGCATAAAATCGAAAACTTTAGCTGCCTTCGCCCCTTTCGGCCGTCGCCACCAATATCTCATTATGTATACCATGCGATGTCACCTGGGCTAACACAAGTTATGGTCAGGATTTGTGCAAAAGTTACTGCTAATCGGTCTGCCAGTAGCTTCCAAGAACCATACTTGTCTCCGCAATGTGCTTCCGACTAACCATTTTGTGAGGTGCGGTAGTGGGGAAAGCGTATTCCAGACGCAAAAATACCATTTGAGGCTGACCTAGGTGTCGTCTGAGGTCAACTTAGATTAAACTCATCGACTATCAAAACGAAAGAGCTTCAAGTGCTAACCGGGTCTATGTGACCATTACAATTTGGTTTGTGGTTGAAAATAGTGTATTGTGCATCTGCAGGTACTCGAGATCGCACAGCTGCTGTTTACATTATGCAAAGTCACTTCGGCGCTTGGCAATGTATGTGCAACAATCTGAGAACAGGAACGCTGGTGCATGAAATATTGCGTCATGAGCTTCACAAACACAATAAGGAGGTGGCTACGCGTATCGCACTCGTTCATCTGCCCTCTCCGCTGCTGGCAACACATGTCATTGACTTTGGATGAGTAAACATGACCTTGAATGTCCTCACGTGTCTTATTGTGACCTCGGTATGCACTAGTATGATATCACATGCTGTCAGTGCAGTATGCGAATGCTGCGTATTAATTTGCCTATGAAAACTGCCTATTTTGAGCACAGCATACGCTTTGCAGAAGGTAACCATAGAAATAGGCTATGACCAAGGCGAAGCTCATGTGGTCTATGGTTATGTGATGGTTGCGCATGTACGTTAGTACTCTTTTCCTCACACAAACACCAAACTTGCATAAAGCCCGTACGCGGTTACATTATTTCCGAGAAATAGCAAAATTGACCTGACATTAAGTCACTGATCTCGCAATTTCAAACAATATAAAATATGCAAACTGTAGGTGCCATCATGCTTCGTTACTACAAGTTTGAAAGATGGCAAATGACCCACCAAAAAATAATGTGTGGTCAAACTTTTTAGGGGCTGACCTCGTTGACGTAACCCAGGTCACTGATCTTGACAGATCAAACCCCAAATTCGCACAAATAATTTAAAGTGAAAATATACATCGGCTGTAAAAATGTTGTGCTATTTCCAGCGTTCCTTTTTTATCTTTGATCGGTCAAATCGTAGGGGAAAGTCAACTTCATCCTTCCGGCCGGGAGCGGGTAAATAGCATCCTGGATCGGTCCCAGAGCAAGTGGCAGAAGCAGATGCTTATGCATATGCTTGTGTTCGTCGTTGACAACATGACATTTTCATGACGAACCGCAAGCAACCAATTCCTACCCAAAAGGCGCAGCGTTGTCTATGTCACTTAAGGGAGTGATAACCATTTGAAGACATTGAAGCAAGCACCATATGTGAAAAACAAGCTAGCTTATAACTATTTACTTTTTAAGTTGAAAAGACTGCTCTAGACAGCACAATTCTCTGGTTAGCAAACATGATGCTCAATGCGTCATGGCTTCATAACGTCGTCGTACCTTGCCTAACATTGATTGAGGGTCAATTGGCGGCCCCTTTTTTTGGAAGTCGCGCTCACAAACGCCAGATGAGAACGCATCGCCAATTATATTTTTCCTGGCCTATGGAATGGCGCATGGGATGGCAGGATTTGAATGGCGGTTTCATGACGTCACGAATGCCAGGGTGATTTTGAAATACTCGCCCCGCTTTTTTGTTTGTTCAAAACCCCATATAAATGGGAAACGCTCGCTTCAAATAGACATTTATATGAAGGAAAATTGACGAATACGGAAACAGCAGACGGTTTGCTTATTTTTTCTTGACGTAATTCTATGCTGATTCCCATTTTCTGTGCGTTCTTTAAAAAATAGCTCGATTTTACGCATGAAAGCCTTTAAAGTAATCCCGTCAAAGTTGGGGAGCGCCATCGCCTCCTCAGTCTAAAAGTTGGTGGGCAAGCGCCCCTCCTGCCCTGTCCCTCCCCCCCCCCCCCCCCTCTCCTCTTGCTCCTGCTTACGGCGTCGTCTGTCTGTCACCCTGGCAGGGAGGGCGTGCGCCGCTTACAGACGGAAGTAAATCACAACGCGGGCTTTCACCGGAAGGATGGCTCCCATTAATTGCATTTCTTTCCTGGTCGGCGCTGATTACCGCCTGAATGTTTCTGGTTTCCAAAACAGCAAACAAGAAGGGCGCAGTACCTCACTTCGATATAATGCAAATCGCAATTTGTTATGGGTGTTTTACATCATTGTCATCATTGAACACCATCTGCCTGTAAGCTTCCGGACATTAAACTGCTCGCCCACTGGAAATGACAAACTGGAAGTTCACGCGCTGTTTTAGCGCCATGAAGCCCGATGAACTGCTTTGCTGTGAACGCTTAGGATGTTGAAGCCTGAGCCGGCCGCAGTGGGAAGTCGGCAAGATCAAACCGGCCTCGACTTAATGACTATGTTGCGGTTCTGGCTTCTGTGCAACGCCCGAATGTTTTGCACAGCAAACACTCGCCGCACCGGCTGTTCTGGGTCATATACATTGGTATGGTTATTCATTGTTATATATATATATATATATATATATATATATATATTTATGCATATATATATATATATATATATATATATATATATATATATACATATATATATATATATATATATGTGTATATATATATATATATATATATATATATATATGTATATATATATATATATGATTCACAACTATATATATATATATATATATATATATAATTAAATATTCATTCTGGCTGTTTAAAGCTGGTAGTAGACATACCATTAACGACCGGTCTGACATAAGTTAAGGTTAAGACATGCGCTCCTTCAGATTCGCTTGTCAGCATTGACGTGATGGTAGAGTTTCGGTTGTTTTGTTACCGCAGGTACCGGCCTGCTCGTGACGGATTATTCGGCCGGAGGATCGGTCTAAAAATTGAATCAGTAAAACAGACCTCCCAGTCTTTCCTGAGTCTATGCGAATCGCCGTTTTCTCTGTGCCGCCTCTTGTCTCCTGATGTATGCGGTAGCCCACGCTTCACCGCCAGTGGAGGCTGCAACGTCCGACGTCAGGGTGTAGGCGAGCACCAGCCGCGATGCATGTGAGTGCGAGCGCGTGAGCTCAAAACGGAAAGGTAAAAATGCTGACGATGATTTGTGTGATGTACAGACAATACCCTTATCCCTCATACCATGAACATTAGCAAGTCTCTTTGATCCACTTTAATGCACGTGGATCCAATCAAACTTGGCCTGTTTTTGTTTGTCTCTTCTATGTGGTACATATAGAGCCTCAATGGCCTTTTAAGATCGAACTATTGTTATTTCTCACGTTTAAGGCTCTGCGTGTTTTTGGCTTTAATATGTTAGGGAGTGATAAATTAAGCGCTGAAGAGGCTAATCTCGGATTTGGCGTAAAGTACCAATATGCTGGACAGGGACAACATCAGCTTTGAAGCGACCAAACCGAACATTGACAGGGCCAGCACCCACCCAAAATAGTGCAAATCCACACCCACGCCAGTGAGAGCATGGTTGCCCTTCTTCGCCATCAGGCAGCCTGACATGGTATTAGCACGAGGAAACAAGAAATGAAGGTTCGTGGGCTCCTTGGGCATTAAGGCTTTATTTTCCCGCGAACCTTGGATAGTTCAAGTTCACACCGCATTTGAAACGTACTTGATGCTGCACATGCCGCACTTCCTGCGCCGCCGACCCTCGTAACGTACAAGCGACACCGCAGCCTTGAGGCCCAGCATCACCACGGCGATGGCGCCTCGCTGACGCAGGTGGCCGCTCCCCCCCCCCCCCCCCCCTGCAGCGCCTCGGGCCGAGCCCGGCCGATTGGCGGAGCCCCGACCGGAGGTGAGGGGTCAGGGCCTCCGTGCGGAGCCGCATCTACCGCCGCGGGAAACTAGGCCAGAGCGGGTGGGTCACGGCGGTGGCGCGGCACCACAGACACGTGCGCCACGTGGGAACACGGTCGGGCTCCGAGCGCGGCCGCGCCACCACCGGGCGCGCTCAGTAGCGGTGCAGCGGTCGTCTCGGTGATGGTGCTGCGACATGATGGCGGACTCTCCCAAGGTGAGGGGCGCGGTGTTCTGCAGACCGGCCCTTTCTCTATCCCTAGGGGCGGGCTCAAGGAACAAAGCCGCCCCCCCCCCCCCCACCTTCAGGTTTTGCCTGCGGTCTGTATAGCTAAACACATATTTACTGTTATTTACGCACCCATCACTTGCTGGGAACACATCGGTTGTGTTCCGTTCCGTCCCAAATCATGTCATGTGGCTGCCCCGTTCACAACGTGCGCAGCAGTGGTAGCTTGGAGTTGGTCCTCCCGCTGCCGGTCAAACAGGCGTCCCGAGGGCCGTGCGGGCACCGTGGGATCAAGGCATTAGTGTTCATCACGGCTGGGTCCTGTATTGTTTACATGCATAGCGGCGCGTCCGACCGATGGCATGCACTTGGTTCTCCTGAGCTTGAGGTGCGGCGTACATTGTTGCCATCTTGCTACTCGAACCGATTGTTTATCGTGTGTAAAATGATTGTCGCGTCTCACAGTGCTTGACTGGGCCTTAGAAATAGTACCTGCATGCGAAACGTCGTTAAAGCGTGCAGGTGCGTGTATGCATTACGTCCCCGCAGTGGCACGCGGAAACTGGTTTGTTCACTTCAGAGTTTGTGGACGCGGGTATGCCATGACTTTTCATCCTCAACGGTAGTGCACTCATTGCATTAATTTGCATCGCACGATGTGATCTCAACTCGATTCATTATCACAGTTACATAGTGCCCACCTACGCTCTTTTCGTTCACAATCGCTGACCTTGTCATGGCTGCTCGACCCACACCAGGCACCGGCCTTCCAGTTGCGACCATGCCAAATGCGGTGCTTCACGAACATACGTGATCTGTTGTCAGATGGCACCCAAACAGCTTTGTCACGGTATCACATAAATCGGACGGGTAGCATTGACGTCACTTCACTGATTTCCTGATCGCGAACCTTGGCCTACCAATGCCAGGGCCATTCTGCTGCCGGGCGGCGTTCGTGGGCCAGTGGTGCAGCGTTCTCACTCCAGTCTGGCTTGGGTTTTTGCAGTGGCGTGCGTGTGTCTATGACTTTGGCCTTGGCCGGGCGCGGGATTTTCGGAATTCACGGCCTGACTCGGCTGCTGTCCCAGTAACTGCCCTCTGAACGTTTCGGAGGTGTTATGATGCCTCCCCGCCCCCCCCCCCCCAGCACGCATACCTAGACGTGACCTGAGTGATTTACGTGTGACTCTAGCTCTGGGTAGAGTCACAACATGGATCCTGGTAAGGTGGGCACGGCTCTGAATCTGATCAGGGCAGTCTGATCACTCTGTTCCCGGGCTGCAGGCCAGACTCTTACTTTGTTCCCGAATTGTCGACCAACCTCCCGCTTTGATTGCTCATAAGACTTGACCGCGGGTCAGACCCTGGCTCTGTCAGCCTTCTGCCGGTCAGACCCTGGCTCCATCTCCCGTCTACGGGTCGGAGTCTGGCCCTGCTCCTTGTCACCGCGTCAGACACTGGTTGTGTTGCAGGCCTGCGGCCGGCGAGCCGCCCTGCTGATGCTCGCCGTCACTCTCAGCCGTCAGGTGACAGCACATCCGCAGGGTCACCGACTAATCAAAGGTCAGCCCTCCTCTGGGTCACGGTGTCCCCCCGCCCGCCACACACACGCATACACACACACACACACACACACACACACACACACACACACACACACACACACACACACACACACACACACACACACACACACACACACACACACACACACACACACACACACACACACACACACACACACACACACACACACACACACACACACACACACCTCGTATTAGGCGCCGGTGAGCCTGAGAAACAGTCGACAGTCAGCTCTCACCAATTATACTGGCGGTTTCGCCACGGGTCGCGGCTGCGCAACAGCTGGAAGCAGTCGCGTTGCAATCACAGGTGCCAGGTTGGGCTTGGCACGTGCTGACTGATGAATCCTTAATAGGATTGTTTACAATTCCATTGTAGCACTATCACCCGCTATCCTCTCGTGTGCATGGTGTACATTTTTGATGCCCAGCGCATTGACCAGCGTTGCCTTTTCGATCCCGCCACAGATGCGATGCGAGGCAATAGAACAGATGCAACGTAAGGAGACACCAGCTATTTTACTGGTCTGCTCTGCAAAGTAGGCGTCGCGTCAGACTTCCGCCGCCGGCTGGGATGGCAATAAGCGGTAGGCTTAGGCTGGCTGACATAAGTTTGCCCTACCTCGCACTTGCCTCTCTTGACGTGGAAACTGTCAGAGATGGGAGGCTGAGCAAGCTTAGTCGAAGGGAGACAGCCGATCAGTGCCTCCCGCACTGATGCACTTTTGTGGGAGCCCCGCAAACATCTGTGGACCGAGGCCATTTGTGGATCACCTGTCCATATCCCACAGCCGTATTGTGTCGAGCCGTCAGGGATTGGTTATGCTAATTATGAAGTCAGCGGTCTGAGGTCATTTATGGGTTGCGTGTTTCGAAGCGAAGGCTTTTCGTGACGTCATTCTGACTGGTCTGACCAACTGATGAGCTTGGTATAGTCATATGTCTGTTCGCCCCGCCTGTAATTTCAAAACGCCATTCTCTGTCGGAGAGGATGTGATCCTCACCAGCAAATGTGCACTGCACATATGTAAACGCGTTGGAAATATTTGTGCACGTGTATGAGACTGAAGATCTCTACATGATAACCATAGAGCAGATGATATTTCGGACGTGAAAACCGTCCTAACACGATAAAAGACATGATAACCATGCGGCAGGCCTTGTCAGGCTCGTCCCCGCAACCATCACGTTTAGTAGAAGCTGATCTATCTTCGCAACTGATAGCCACAGCTCCCTAAATTTGCAAAAGCGAGGAATATCTTTGTTAAAAAGTTGCATTTTATAAGACTGTAAGCATCAGGAGTGTTGTTTCTTCAATATTGCAATGTGAGTAAAATTGCCTCCTGCGATTAGCATACGAAAGGTAAAGGCTGCTCACCACAAGCAGAAAGCGACAGCGCGGATCCCAACATGCCGGTGTCTCGGCGATACTGCATCGCATCGACTCAAAGCAAATAAGCTGCTTATATGTTTTAATCGAAGCGATTGAAATGAATGAATCGAAAACCGCTAATTTATTAATGAGCGTGAGGACGCTATATAACCGCGAACTCTGCCTGCCAAACTGCTGGACTCTCCTGAAAGACGGACATCCCTACGCAGCTATTAAACCGTTTCTGTGGTTTCCAAATGTGTCTGCTCGTCGCTCGTCCCACGTTACATTAGGTAACACGCTGGTGATCAGTCGTGAGCAGCACATAAAACCACCACAGCCGCATTGCTGGATGCTGATTTGAGGCTCACTCGAGTCAATCAAAGCTCGAACTGAACAGCGCCAGCGCGATCGGCATGTGATATCCTTTTTATGTGCAACTGTACCGAGTGCCCGAATGAGGAGTGACGGGTGTACTCGGCATCTGATGGACCTCATGTGAATAGCTGAATCCTGGCATACGGATACCGCCGGCAGTATATGTGTCGTATTTTGACAACTGGCCGTGCCACGAGGTGAGCAGTGCGGCACAGCCGGCAGTACACAGCACACGGCACTCACGCGGCCGGGTGACCGGCTGTGTGAGGTAGGTTATGACTCTTGGGTCGCATGAGGTCGGATAAGGTCAGACTCCAGATTGGTATCGAAGTGCCAGCAGACCTCCTCATGCAACCAGCTTTAAACTAGACCCCGTTCTAAGGAAAACTTTGCTGATGTTCATGCCAGTGACCTTATTTGACCCTCAGAAGGGCAGGATGAGTAAAACCCCTCGAAATAGTCTTGATATTGAAGTCTAAAATAATTGTTAAGAGTTACTTAAGACAGCATGTTCTTCAAAGCGAAAGGTTGGCCAGGGTCTTTTAAGGGCAGTAACCTCCCTCACCTTCATGGAGTTAAAATAAGATGCCTTTCGACGTCGCTCTGATCGGGGAACTCGAAAAGAGCATTGCAAACTATCTCATACGACAAGATTTCCAGTAATGACGTGGTTTCGTCTGTGCATTGATCTGACCTTCCTAGCTGAAACAAGACCCATGCCATTATTCGTAATCCTTATTTCAATGGACTGATTTTCTGTGAAGCAATTTCAAAGTTGCCTGATTTCATCTGACCCTCCGTTCTTGCATCAATTTAACTATTCCCTAGGAATCGCCTTTCGTGACAGCCATAGCTTGGCTTTGACCTGCTATAGCCTAACGACCTGTCAACGTATATCTTAACGTATTGCACCAAAATATTGTCTTTTCAGTTTCCTACAACTTTACTAACTTTTGGCATGATTTCCACACACTGTTCGGAAGTTAGTCTGGAAAAGACCTTCGTCGGGGTCAAATTGACCCCGACCCGAGCGCGTGTTAACAACAGCGTTACATCCTCAGAAGCACCTGTACAGCCGGCGGTACATGTGTCGGTTATTAAAGCGAATGCTCCACACTTGAAGATTTTGAGGCAAACATGACTTATGAGATAAAAACTTACGTAAAACCATTGGTATCCTTTAAATTACAAAAAAACTGCCCTAGCCCTACCCCTGCCATAACAAAACATCACTTTTTAGCAAATGTGCTGCTCCATACGTCATCGTTGAATTTTTACGTCATGGGACATTTCTATGGTGTCAGGGTCACTGCCAAACAGAAATGACACCGAAGCGGACTCGCTTGTAGTAAATCAGTTCACCGCTAGATGACTTGCTTATTTGTGCGTGTAAAAATGGCCATCGGTTTGTGTGCGTATTTGTGTGCCCGTTTTAGTATGTTTATATATACATATATATATATATATATATATATATATATATATATATATATATATACATGCGGCGGCTATGCGGCCTTGAACAACGCATAGCCAAAAGAATGACAGAATCTGTATGACGTTATTATGGCATCATTGATGCCTGGGTGATCCCGAAACAGTCTGTGCGAAACAGTCTGCACATTTTCACGGGCATGTAGCTCAGAAACTAGAGGGGTTTAGGTCATGAGAAGGACAGTGCTATGAACTGCACCGAATGATCTTCAAGGTGGCTATTTCGGTTGAAATCCCCATATCAATGTGGAATATTCTCAAGTTACTCGATTCCTAGGTATATTCCGTCATGGCTAGCAGAACTGCCCAAATATCTATACCAAATGATGTTCGTGATCGTAACTTGAACTTGACGCGTTAAGCTTGTTGAAATTCGACTGATCTCCGTTGACGCGATTATTCGTGCTGACGTGCTTCAGACATGCATAAGACAATGGTCATATCTGCATGAACCTTAAGCACAGTATGAACACTGAGAAGGCGAATTTCTTATGATGTTTCTATGACGGCATGCATCTCTGGGTCACTTCAAATAAGGTGGCACGAAATAGTATGCGCAAGTTCACGGATGCTTCGCTCAGAAACAAAAGGATTTTCTGTCTTATGAGGGACAAAGCTGTGAACTACAGGGAGGTACCTCAAAAATAACCAGCTCATTTAAAAACCTCACACCCATATGGAACGTTCCCTTTAACAACAGCGCTGTGTCCCCAGATGAGGAGCACGGGTACAGCCGGCAGTACATGTACGGACGTCGGGACCACGGTGCCATGCACGCGGACGCCTCGTCGCCGTGGAAGCATGACGCCGGCGTCAAACACGGCTTCTACGGGATGTACGATCACTACAGGATCGGGTGAGGACTGCGAGCATGCATGGTTCGCGGAGATGAGGCACTGGAGGGCGGAATAGGTGTGGTCCAAAATAAATAAATGCGTTACGCGTTGCCAACGCGATCACGTACATTTGCACGTCCTGTGAAAATCCGGCCTCCCCTGGATTTTGTTTTGAAAATGCAACTTTGTATTCGTTTGAAAGCCCCGCTTACTCCAAAAAATCATTGTGCTATCGCGCACTTCTGTAGGCCCGGAAGGACGAACATGTTTATGGCAGCCTCGTGCTGAGCTTCATCAGCGGAGTTTGTGACATTATCTATGTAATATAACTGTACAAGCGTCATGCATGTCATCCGTTCGCTCGCCTCCACGTCGCATCAGGTATCATGCCATTGCTGCATTGTAAGCATTACTTGAAATTATCACAGCTGCATTGGGTATTGGGTGCTGCTGACTGAACCTCATTTGACATTTGACATGACATTTCAGCCCGAATTTGAAAATATCATGACACTCGTATAAGCGTTCGTTACATGCGGGTAGTAGATTCAGAAGACCGTGATGCACAAGTGCAGCACCGGATTTTCCATGCAGTCCAGAACGGTAGGCCGCCAGATTTCACGGCTAACTTTGGGAAGAAAACTAAACACATGAAGAAACATTGGCGGACTACTGCTATCGTAACTGGTGTTTCCGACCAGCATAATCAGACTCCTTGGTTAGCGCGTCAGACTACGAATGGTGAGATCGTGGCTTCGAAGCTAACGGCTGCCAAAGCCATTTAATGGTGCGCTACGTACGGGTCCTCGCGCCAGGCATGAAATGGCGCTTTTCAGGACCAGTTTATACCTGACGACGATGGAAAAGCAACCGGCCGAAGCGTTGCGGAAACATGAACTGAAAATATGAGGACAGTCGCGGAATATCTAACACGCTTGCATGAACACAAATTATCAAGCATTTCCTAAAACAGGTAGTTCAACGATAAGCGGACCTGTGCATATGCCGCTTTAAAACAGCATTTGGCAACGACTGGCGACGGATCTGAGCGGTGGCACTGGAAATCTTCCAAGTAGTGGAGGGATGACCATTTTTGGTTGTTCCTTCTGACAACGTCCTCGAGGCAATGTGAAATATTTGAGAAAACTCAGGGCTCCCCCCCCCCCCCCCCGCCCGGTCCACTTATCTCCGTTTCCCATGGCCTGAGGACTGACGTCAGCGTCAATGCTTCACACCATTGTTTCACAGTTAGTGCCCGCCTTTTGACCGTACATAACCGCCGCGTCCTGACCCTCCGCGCTTGTTTTCAGCCGTGTTCATCCACTTGAACAAAACGACTCGTCGCCCGCGGCGACGGCGGTCAAGGTCCACCACTGGCCAACCAGTGCCGCGACGACGAAGCTGTCCGCCAATCAACAGCCAGTATTTCTGCTTTTGGCAGTTTTGGTGCTGAATGTGCACCGACTGCATCTGGTGGGAGATTTTCCTGCTTTGCCAGTCACTTGGACGGGTGCCGAGTAACGGACGATTTGTCATCTGTATGAAGTACGGCTTGCTAAGATATCTGCTCCGTGGGTGGGACAACAAAACAAACAATTCACGCCTCATCCACCACCCGAAAGCTTTTGCACAAAAGCCTGCGTCATGAACGGCCACCGTAACCAACAAAGTCGCAACTGACTTCAATATTTGCGCTCCACTGGAGTGCCGAATAACATCATCCCCAATCACTGACCTGAGCAATCATCCTGCCGATACAGTGCCGTTACGATCAGTTCCCTATCGGACCACGATAAAGATATGCTCACAATTAAGATCATGATGGCAAGAGCTATTGATCATTGATGAGCTGACTGCAAGACCAGTTCACGGTGAAGCTCACTGTACGGTCAATATCGTACATTACCTATTTCAGCTCACTATCAGGACCATTTCAAAATTCCGACCAGGACCAAGATCACGCTCACACCACAGTACGGAAGGGTGGTCAGCAACTGTTAGCTAAACGCGCCCTCTCCCATGGCGGAAGCCGGCATCATCAAACATGTCGCCAGCCGCGGCACAGCGTCCCTTCCATCTTCCTCGCACACTGGGTGTTGTGACTGAGGCGGTCTCGCTCTCGATCTGTGTTTGAGCCGGTCTCGATCTCTCGATCTGTGACTGAGACCGTCTCGATCTCTCGATCTGCCGCGGACAGCAGTAGCATTCCATCTGTGGCATCTCTTCTAAAACCATGTCTCTTGCAAGTGGTCTGCTCAGCCCGAAGGAGCTCTGAACAAACAGTCATCAGTCAAATGTCATGTGCCGCATGCCGTGTGTAAACTCTGCTCGTCTGCATGTTGGCGTTGAATTTCCGATTAAATTTCAAAGACGGCTTTTGGATTGCATCTGGTATTAATACTGCCTCGCAGCATTCAGATTATTTGCCGTTCGCAACATTTAAAAACCAGAATGTTTGTTATCACGTCGAACGGCCATTACTTCACGTCACGTCGAACGTTTGTTATCACGTCGAACAGCCCAGGTTTCCCAGAAAGTCCAGCACAACTGAAACCTTGTATGTGTCCCAGAAGCCGCGTCAATCTAACAAGCTTGTGGCTGCCAATTGGGAACTGGCAGCAGTGCCAGTCTTAGCAGGGTGGACGTGTTATGGCACAACAAAACACGCTAAAGAATATTTCGTCACAACCACAATTCAGCCGTGACTGCAGCTCTGGGCTGGTGAAGTCACGGCCTATCGTGGTAAACTATCCTGTCACATTCTTTACGAAACGGAACAAGACAGCCGCGCTCGTGGTCTTCAAACGGCCGAGAAGACGAGCAACATTCACTAATTCTCGGCCGTGAGACAGGCTCCCCAGTTTTACCATGCATGTAATCTGTTGAAAAACACGCCGCGTTAGCGCCGCCCTGTGCGTGAGAGCGTGGCGTGTGTGGCGTGACCGCGCCGTGTGCGCCGCCGCACGCCACTGCCTCGTGCCTTTTGTTTGCAGTGCTGTAAGCGGTTTCCATTGTTATTAGTGCGCTGGTCTGGGCTGTCCCTACAGCTCACGATCACGCCAGAGCAAAAAAGGGGGCGATGCGCACCACCACCAATGACGTAAGGCATGTCCATAGCGCCCCGCGCTGTTGGCGAAGCGGTTGCGATAGCTGCGGTTAGTGATTACCTACGATATTACGTGAGTTGACCCTGCCAGCAGGCGTGCTTTATCGGCACCGTGGGCTGAACTATCCTAGCTTCTCCCAAATCACAGTCATTATCGCCGTGTAAACACGCTTGCGTCAGTGATGAAATTACTGCGATATTTCTATGCAGCCATGATACTCCACGGGTCCATGATATTTCCATAAACTTAAACACAAATTTTTCTGGCCACAGCTGGACCGCAATCACATTTTGCGCGTTCCATTTCGCAACTTTTGTTTCTGAAAACCTACTCAGACCTTACCTTTAAATGCACAATGATATCCAGCGAATTACGACCAAACTCAAGACTAAATCGTTCATCATATTGTCTCTGGTCAAGCAAGCGACAGGTGTTGCAAACCTCCGAAGTTGCGAAGCCTTCAGGTTGTACGCGGGTCAGACCTGTCCAGGTAGCACGCCAGATCAGCTTCGCCACGGACAGAAGTGCACCGCGCAGTGTAGTGTGGCACTGCTCAGTGTAGTGCAGCGCAGCAGTGTAGTGTGGCAATTTGGGCACATGATTTTCTGTGACATTCCCACTACCTGCACATGTGTCGGATGGTTCTGCATGTTCCAGAGCTGCTCAGTACAGACAGTACATACAGTCACGGTAAAGTCTATGATCTTAACTCGCAGTGCGAATTGGCACAGTGCAGTACAATATAACACTGGAAAATGCACTTCGACAATGCACAATACATTTACGTAGAATGTACCACTGTAGCTCACGCTTAAGTATTTAAGAGCGCCGATATCGCGTTGCGCTTTAGTAAGCGATGACTATCCTACTAGCAGATGTTTCGAAACGTTTCATTGATGCGTCATGTGACGTCTGCGGTTAGCAGTAATGAGCGCACAATCTATGATACGAGCCTTGTTGAAACGCTTTATCTGTGTCGTTATAGGCATGCATGTATACTTGTGTATTTATTGCGGATGGACAGAGGAATGTTTGTTTAAGGGAGCCGATATGTAAGCAGCTGTGTTCAACGCACCATAAGGGTAATCGTAATAAACTAAACCCCAAAACGTCAAGTTTGTCCCCATCGCAAACAACTCCATTGAGACTCCAAGAGACGTCGCAGACAACACCGTTGTCTGATACTAATAGGGCAAAGCAAGCATGAGGCACAAAGAGCAAGAAGCGAGGCAGCATATAGAATCTCGTATATAAGTGAGAAACTCGTTGAAGCACAGCCAAATTAAAGTTTGGTCGAAATTAACTCGAGAGCCGTCGGCTGTAATCCACCATCGCCTCACATTTTCATAACCAGCCTGGCAAAAGAAGGGTTTTTACGTAATACTTTGGTCCAGATCGGATCATGCGCATAATGCGTCGTCGTCGTCATAAAGGGTTTACAACGCATTCAGCTGCTGGGGCTATGTGACATCAACCGCCTCTCACACTGGCAGGAAGGGCAGGCACCGCGGGGAATCGAACCCCGTATCCCTGGTTTCCCAAACGCGCAATGGTAAAGCAGGTGCGTCAACCACTACACTATCGGCACCCCGTACGTATCTAGTGCAGTGTGAGCAACCATAGGATCTGTCCATATGAACTGTCCTTTTTCCGAGCCCCGCGGCACTTTTGGTTCGCGATCTATAGCGTTGAGTTGTGCACAAATCAGACCATTCCGTTTTACCCATGGGACCTATGGAGGCGTGCGAACTTGCACCTTGAAACGACCGAGTTTCAGGCCGAGACGGTCACCTCTGTCATTTGAAACTGGTTAGAGCAGCAAAGAATTTCGACTGTTGTGTTCTGATAAATTAAGAATCTGCTAGTTACGAGGAGACGTGAAGAGGGTAACCCAAATACATTGGAAAATATATGTTTTGATATGATCAAAAACGGCTTCAGGTCCTAGTTTTTTGTATTCAGTGCTTATGCCGCAAACAATTGCGCTGGAATAAACCGAGAGGTACGAGCTAAACAAAGTGAACAAGGCAACACTGGTATACATGACAATATCAAGAAAACATTAAATCACTCGTGACCATAAGCAATGCCTCCAGACGTCAAGTTTTCTTTGAATCACTATACTATCGGCACCCGGCGCGCGGGCTCCAATCTTTTGATAGTATTTGTTTCACCAGTCGATTCTGCAAAGTAATTAACGTTCTCTGTAAAATATAACACGGCCTTGTGCATTTTGAGGTCATTTCGACCCAATCCATTCAACACTGATGAGACCCCTTATTTCGGGTGAAGGGGTCCCCTGAGTACACTACCGCGCACGTTATTGTTCTTGGCCAAGGGCTGGAGGGTCATTCTGTCCCACGGCGGTGTGTTTCTAGCGACACGGGGTGGCATTCTCTGGCTGATCCGGAGGCCCTTAGAAAGATACATCGTATTGCATCAGTCCACTCCCTGATGCGGGAGGCCTTCTGACCCGCAGTTGACCCCGGATCGACGCATGAACCGTCATCAACGCAACAACATTCCTGCTAGCCGAAGGTGGTTAAATAATTGGCTTATAGACTCCAGTTGAGCTTAACGGCCCCGACCAACGCAGGAGACCCGCTACCATTTGGGCTCCCGTCCCCGTACCTGTTGAGCAAACCTTCCCCTGACCGATTCGAGGCCCACTGCTGACACAGAACGCCCTGTTAGGCACTGTGGACCCCTGAACGATACATGAGCGCGACCGATGTAAATCGCGGGTCCGGCCTTGTCCCTGCTTGGGAAATGGGCTCCCAGAGCTCAGACCAGCACAGAGCCGACTGTTCGTTGTTCGTAATCTCTGGTCGAAATAGAGGAACGCTCTGTCCCAAGGGTCCCTATCGGTGCAAGAGACCATCTTACTGACATTTGAGATCACGGCCCTATGGGCGGGAGTCCTTAATGGGACCTACAGCCAGCCCTTCGGATCCCTCAGTCATGCCATCGCGCGTTTGATCTTTGGTCTCGAGAAGCCCTTCGGTCCCTCTCCGGGCCCTCTCAAACACCGCTCCGGCTCGGGGCCACTTGCCGCCACAGGACCCCTGTTCGGCACCGTGGCCCCTAACCGACACAGGAGCCCCTCATTATTGCGTCAGGGACCCAGAACATTGCTAGGAAATGGGTCTCAATGGCTCAGACGGGGCATGGAGCTGACTACTCGGTGTTCGCAGTCTCTGACTGACTTAGACACCCGCATCGTCTCAGGGTTTCTTCAAACGGTACAAGAGGACCTCAGGCTGATATTTCAGGTCACGATCCCATGGGCCGCGATTCTTTATGTGACCAACAGCCAGTCCTTCGGGCCCTTATGTCCTCCAAACGGACCTTTGATAGTCCATTCCGTTAGGCCGCCCGGGCATACCGACATATCGGAGCATACCAGACATACTGGGCGTGACGCCCATACCGACAAGAAGGTGGCTGTGCGGTACTGGTGGTGTCTGACCAGCAGATTGGCCCGTATGGATTCGAGGGGTCCCCGATCGACGCAAAGGGCCCTCTGTCATTCGAGTGCCGGTCTGCGTAGGCCGGAGCCCCTGACAAAGACTCCAACCATCCCCCGTGCCCACAGACCTTCCAACTGGGTCCTTGATTGTCAGAACCGGTAGGCCCTCCAGGTTCTTCAGACCTTTTCGAGCAATACTTCTGGACGACTTGCGCTCTTTGCCAGCACATAGGCGCTTTTAGGCAATGCGGGAACCTTAAATGAAGAGGCACGTGCCCCCCGCGCCCCTTCCGCCTGCGCTGCTAAACAACCCATTTCAGCTGTTGAGCTCTGGGTTCCCGACTGCACTGCTTAGTATCACGCGTACCACACTCCGCGGTATTTAGTACCAATTGTTCCTGGCACCGTTCCCTCTCGAAAAGTATTGGTACTAAATATTCTCGCGGACATGTTGGCTGTTCATACTCGACCCAAGGCCGCTAACCAACCCAACCTAGCCGTCTCCCAGGAGAAACTCGCAATGAAATGGGAATTAGGATTCCAAAAATGGTATCCGTTGCCGCCATGCATGCCAAATAAGGAATGAGATGTTGCAGTCCCAGCAGCGAGAGACGGCGTGTGACATACTGATGACGTCATGATAAGAAATACTCTAATTGGCTATCTTTGTCAAGACAATGACATGCTTCTTAATTATTTTAAGGACACATGTTTGCTTTAAATAAATATAAATAGCTCTAAAGAAAAATTGAAGCCATTGGGCAGCTGAATATTTATTGCGTAGCGCACATTTAAATAACTTCGATCCGCGCCACTTTCGATCGAGCAAAGCGAATGTCCAAGGCGAAAAGCTACATCAACAATATTCGCGACGTTCGATTCTGCACCATAAACGGAACGGCTGCGGGCAAGGCGCTGGGGGGGCGCCGCTGGGGCCGGAGACTGGAAAGGCGGCATTGTGGAAAGGTAAGGCTGCCGGTTGGGGAAGTGGCTGGTGACTGGTGTAGCGTTCGGTACGTGAGCATGGAGTGCCGTGTTTAGCGGGCTCAAGCTCGTTTGATAAGAGTGGAGGCTAAGTACAGGCAGTTGTGGACTGGGCAGGCGGGTGACAAATTGTAGGTAGGTTGGGAGGTAAACTGGATGACTTGTCATTGTATGGCAGGCTACAGACAGGCCATGTGGTACATGTTTTATTTGCTGTACAGAGGACATTCAGAAAGTAGTGAGGATGGGTTTATTCCCAACTTGAGCCTATCAACCTGTGCCATGTGCTGCATGTGTTACCAATCTGGCGACTAGTGTTTATGTTTAAAATCTGAACATTGGGTGCCTATATGAAGTGTTGTACTTTTTGCCCCTTTCTCTTGTTTTTTAAAAATCCAGTTCAGGCCTTCAAATAAAGGGTCCAACACTGACAGATGTGTTGTCTGCTGACAGTGTTAGGTCATGTGAGGATGTGGGCATATAGGAAACAAACTAAGCTATTTGTCACAATGGATGCAACATGATATTATTTTTAAAATTTAACATGGGATTTTCTTCCTTTTTAGCTAATCTGTTGCTTCTGGCATTAGCCAATTTTATCAATTACCAGTTTAATTATAATAGCAAATAAAAGCAACTCAAAGTGCAGCCAGTCAGCTTTGGGGCAATTGTGTATAATGTAGGCTTACACTGCATATTAAAGACTGATACAAGCATCTGCCTATAGATTGGCTCTTACAGGTGACAATTTTTTATTTTGAATTGTTGATGGTTATCAGATTCAAGCATGTGTGCTCTTGTTTTGGGTGATGTAAATTTTGTATAAATCTGGTCATGTGCTAGAACTCCTGCCCAATTATCTCAGGCTGACATCCAGGGATATTTGGGTTGGGCTGTCAGTTTTCTGTGTGAACTTGGCAGTGGTGCAGGATCTGTAAGGATCTGTGATGTGATGTGACCATTCTGTGTGCAAATTGGTAACAATATGTAAGAGCCACATACTTATAAGGGTCTATGCAACTTGCCAAACATGAAACATTCCAGATATATTTGACCGTAATGACGTCAAAAGTTCAGAGGGAATCGAGTATCGAGGGAATTGTGCATCTGTTTGCATATTATATCGAGGGTCGAATTTATTTTTTCATTTTGGTTTGTGTCAGGGTAGTGTCATGGAGACTGCCTGTCACAGTACTGACACTACAAGTTTGATGTGCTGTTCCCTACATATCTAGACAAAGCCCAGGAAACACACTTGTTCACTGCAGCTGCAGTGATTTCTTAGGAATAAGGGAGTACTTGTTTTATGGTGACATGATGATGCTTTCACAATTATGGATTGAGGTAGTATGTCAGCAGCATATGTCCAATGCATTTTCCAGGTTGATCTACAATGACCAGCCCAAACCTTGTCACCTGTGGCGACAACATCAAAATCTGGGACTCCAGTGGATATTCATTACTCCACCAGTTTCAGCCCAACAACACTAATGGTATGCATATAAATGTTCATTTTTTGCTGGAAATTTTTGCACAGGTGCCAATTACAAACTGAAGGACTTGTGTATGGCTTTGTAATGATGTATTTTTAAGTGCATTATGCATTTGGTAGTCATTTGAGGTCAATTGTGGTATAATTCATTATTGCATATATTTGATGATCTATTATACCAATATGCAAAATGTGTTTTAAACCAAGTGTTATCAGAGCCTTGATTGCTTACCTTACCTTAGGTATTCACTTTGCTAGATTTGTACATTGCATGCCTGTTGCTAACTGGTAATAAAACTGTTGTCCATGTTCTCCATGTTCATATCACATGTCATATGTGATGCTGAGGTGAACACAGCTGTGGGATTCTGCTGGCAGTTCATACACATCACTTGCACCTCTCCTGAATTCCTCTTCATGTGTGTTCTGCTCTCACTGTGTCAGTGCAGCACTCAGTCTGCAGCCTGTCGCCGGTGTGTTCCACTCTGACTCTGTGTCAGTGCAGCACTCAGTCTGCAGCCTGTCGCCTGATGTGAGGTGCCCACGGTGGCCGGCTGTGCGGCAGATGACGTGGTGACGGACGTCTGCTGGAGCCGGGATGGCAGCATGGTGGCCAGCGTGGTCAGCCGGCAGGCGCAGCTGGTCGTCACTGGCGTCTCGGCGCACAGCACGCGCCAGCTGACGGCCGCCACAGACCTGGTGAGCAGGTGCCCCAGCACCAGGCACTGTGCAACAGTTTTCGGCTGGCCCGGCTGGAGGGAAACTGTGAGGAGGGATTGATTTGGATCTGTTGAGCTTCCCAATTGAATCACATTTTCGGTTTTGTGTATGAGTTAAGGCATGATATAGGTGGTCTGAATCGGCGTCAAACGACCACTGCAGACGGTGCCCGAAAACACGTATCAACAACTACAACAAAGGGTGGTTTGATCTGTTTTCGCGTGATGGTTTTCTTACGTGTTATCCGCAGCCCCCTCTGTAAATGCTGCTTTGACCCGGTTTGGTGAGCACCTGCTGAGATGCACCCTCCCCCCCCCCCCCCTCCCGCAGCCCAAGGCGACGTGCTGCCGTTTCTGCACCTCCAACAGCCGGTACATCTGCGTGGGGTCCCACTCCGGCGGTGTCGACCTCTGGGACAACAAGAATGGCAAGCTGGCCAAGCAATACCAGGTGCGACAGGGGCTGGCAGTCACCTGTCCGCAGGGCGGGAGTGGTACCTGTCGCGCGGGTGTGGTCACCTGAGATCCGTAGCTCACCCTGCAGCAGCCCAAGCCCACCTGCTGCCGCTTCTGCACCTCCAACAGCCGTATCACCGGAGAGACCAAATGACACTAGTTTGGTCTGTGCTTCGATTCCTTCCATTGGGGGGTTGATTCTAGCGAAACCAGCTAAATGCAAGCGATACGCTCGCGTTCCGCGTTCATGCAGTGTACCCAGTCCATGTTCCATGGACTGTCTACGCACTCGGCCAGCTTTTCGAGGTGGGCACGATTTGAAAAACGTTTTCAGCTTATCTTGAGGGGCATGTTAGATCATGTAAATTATCTATGCATCTTGAGTTATATTTCTAAGCAGCGTGCCTGATTTTTCGTGCCCTCCTGTTTTCAGCTACCTGACCTGATCTAACCCCATTTAGCGTGACTACTGACTTCAGTTTACGGGCACTGACATTGCAAGGTATTATGTCGCCTCTCCTGACCACCTGTGACCTCTCATGACATAGCCTAGCCCCTGATCTCGCCTGTTCCGGTGCTGACCGCTGGCCGCGGTCGTCGCGGGGTCACCAGGCGCTCGTGTCATGACATGGCCCAGCGCCTGACCTCGCCTGTTACGGTGCTGACCGTCGGCCGCGGTCGTTGCAGGGTCACCAGGCGCCCACAACCTCTCATGATATGACCCGGCTCCCGGCCTCGCCTGCTCCGATGCTGACTGCTGGCCGCGGTTTTCGCGGGGTCACCAGGCGCCCGTGACCTCTCATGATATGACCTGACCCCTGACCTCGCCTGTTCCGGTGCTGACCGCCGGCCGCGGTTTTCGCAGGGTCACCAGGCGCCCGTGACGCGGGTATGCTTCAGCGGCTCCGACCGGCACGTGGCGTCCGCCTCGCGCGCCGGCCACGTGCTGGTGCACAACGTCACCAGCGGCGTCGTCACCGAACTACCGGCCGCCCGCTCAGAGGTGGGTCGGAGGCGACCGGCCGGGCTGACCAGGATGTGGTGATGCTGTGCGTGTGGTGGGGTTAGGCGCTCCCTGACGCTCGAATGGCGTGTTTAGAAGGTGCCTGTTATCTGGGTCCGTTTGTCGTATTCGGTTGCAAGACAGCTGCATTGCGGGTGCTGGCGATGTTAAAGAGGCTGGAGCTAACGAAAATTTCTCTGAAATTATTTGATATAGAAAAGCAGAGGGTTGCAGTTCCATAATTTGACTTCAGCCCAACAAATAAGAAAACCTGAGATATATCACATTTGTACTGGTTCTTCTCCGTCATAATGGAAGTACCACCAGATGGGTCTTATCCGTTGGACACGTATAGCTGATACTAAAAAAAAATTACAAGGGAAGAGGAATACTTACAGCAAAAAGAAGGATTCTAGAGCAATCGGGGAGGGATGTCACAAACTTCAGCATATTTGATGCCTTGACGATTCTTCAGTGGTGCCTATAAGCCACTCCTCACCTGGCCACTCGCTCAAAAACACGTGTGCTTGGCTTCCGTAGCTATATGACTTTTGCAGTGTCTGTGGAATGTGTTTGTAATGGATTCTTGTACAAGCAGTATCCGTCCTCACCCTTTGCGCGCGTGTTGCATCGTCGCTCACCTCGCCCTTACGACGCAGTCATCATCACTGCTCATCTGCAGCCAACTGGCCGTGTTGGTCTGCCCCGTTATCGTTACCCCGGCAGCTCCAGCCCCAGCCCGCCTCCCCCGCCCGGCGGCCGCAGCCTCACGCCCCGTCGCGCCGCGCCCGCAGCCGCAGTGCGCACGCGACCTGCGCTACAGCACGGTGCGACCGGCTGTGCTGGGCGCCGCCTTCGACACGGGCCACGTGTCGCTGTGGGACGTGAACCAGCGCCGCCTGCTGCACACGTTCACCAGCGGGCACGTGGCGCCGGCCGCCGGGCTCGCCTTCTCGCCCGTCAACGACATCCTGCTGGCCAGCGTCGGCCTGGACAAGCGGCTCGTCTGCTACGACCCCAAGACCAGAAAGTACGCCGGTGGCGGGTGGTGTTGGCCGTTAATGCGCTGATCCGGTCATTGGCTGTGTGGTTGTGGCGCCTGTGTCGTCATCTGGACCCGGCTGGCGGGTCGCGGTGCATGACACGGCATGATATGACGTCATCGCATGGCATTAGTCGCGGCTAAGTTGGGTGGAAGATTTTCTGCGGGAGAAATTTCATTTGAAGATCTGCGCTACAATCGTCCGGTGTATCTAGACAGCTGTGCGACGCCTGCTATCTAGACAGCTGGCGGCCTGGGGTGTGACTGACCCGCCGGCCCGGCCAGTGTGATCCAGAGGGTGGTGAGCGACGCGCCGCTGACGGCCGTCGACTTCCACGCCGATGGCGTGCAGCTGGCGGTGGGCACGTCGCAGGGGCGCGTCTGCGTATACGACCTGCGCGCGCCGGGACGGCCCAGCCGCTCATTCACCGCGCACCGCAGCTCCGTGCAGCGCGTCCAGTTCCAGCCGCCAGCCAAGGTGGGTCCAGCCCTCAGGGCGTCACCGCCCGCGACGGAGCGCAGGGGCGGGACACCAGTGATCGACCATGCATGCGGTTCGGTACCAGGAGCCAAGCGGCGGTGGGTGTTTAGTCTTCAGCTGATTGCTTGTAAGTGTGCTTTATACAAGCTGGGTGATGTGTGCTGCCTGCAGTCTGCCCGAGCCTGCTATTTTGGTGTGCTCTAATGACGTGATGTACACCATGCGTTAGTTTGCTGACGTGCTGACGTCCCTGTCAGGTTCGAGGCCGGGGCTCCAGCGTTCAGACCGCTGAAGACAGCAAGGCTCTGCCCTCCGGCCAGAACCATTCGCTGCCGGCCGCCGAGCTGATGCAGAACCACGTGCCCAGGCATGGAGAGGCGCCGCGCACCCATTCGACGCCGGTGGAGAGCGCCAAGCCGACGGCCGTCGCGGCTAACGACAGCGGCGGTCCGACCATGGCCATGTGCGTGCTGACCGGGCGGCGGACCTGCGGACGGTGGCAGGGAGGCCGGTGGGAGCAGGGGAGGATGGAACGTCTCCAGTCTTGAGTTAAGGTCGCACTGGGGAGTTTGTCACCGACTCAGTGCAGCTGCATATATCACTGTATCGTCTGGAGGGGCCGCACCCCCCTCCCCCCCCCCTTCGGGCGCGGCTGAAGGCTGCCTGGGCCGGCTTCGTCATTCTCTCCTGAATCGGTCCAGGGCCTGACGAGACCGGCCAATATGCACGCGTCAAACTGAGCCCCCTGTTCTCCCCTGAGTGACCCGACCTGACCGGGCCTGCAGGTATGGCCAGGTGTCCGCCGAGCAGAGCCCCCTGTTCTCCCACGGGTTGTGACCCGACCTGACCGGGCCTGCAGGTATGGCCAGGTGTCCGCCGAGCAGAGCTCCCTGTTCTCTCCGCTCCGGGATGAGAGTCGCCACGCGGCCGCCTCTCCGCCCGCCGCGACCGTGCCTAACGGCGTCACGCTCAACGGTACAGTGCACGGTAAGACGCTGGCGTCACGTCCCTCGTAGTGAGAACCATCGGCCAGACTCGCGGCATGCTCCCCCAGGTCAGCTCTGCTGACGTCGCGGTCGGCAGCGTCAGCAAAGCCTGCCGCGGCCACGACGGCTCAGCGATGCCGGGACGGTCGTTGGCGAGGAGCTGTTGAAGGATTAGGCGTTATGTTGCAGTGTAGGCTTTCTGTATCCTGTAATCTGTATTATTGCCGTAATATGTTATTATTATGCTGTAACCTATAGCGTGTATGCTTGCTCTTCTCGCGTCAATGGTGCAGAAAGTCACATGTCCAGCTGGAAGTTGTGCCTGATCCGCCTTAACAAGACAAGCCCTGGGCTTATCGTTGCAGGCAACGTAACACACCGTCAGCACCACATGTGCCGTCTGGTACCGTGTTTTGTGCCTCGCTTCTGGAGAACCTCTACTCGGACCTGTAGAGGGCTGGTTCGCTCTGGCGTCTGCGAGCTGTCCCTGTTAATCACCGTGTGCCTCCGCCACGGTACCGCCGCCGCGTGCCGGCCGTGACCGGCGCCGCGTGCGCCCCCAGGACGCGACTCGAGCCTGTTCTCGCCGGTGCGGGGCGACCTGAGCCTGGGAGCGGCGCCCGCGCTCGCGCCGGGCCGCGCCGACGCCACCCTGTCCGCCGATGGCTCGCTCTTCCCTCCGCTGCGGCCGGATGCCTCGCTGGGCATCGTCGCGCCCGCCGAGGCGGCGGACGAGCTGCGGGACGAGCTCGGGCACGGCGAGCCGGACGGCGGCGCGGCCGAGCGAGACGCGGCCAACGCTCGCCGGCCCGGACCCGACGGCTGCGGGCCGGACGGTGCCGGCGGTGGTGACGCCTCCAGCCCCGAGCGGCCGGCGGCGCGGCGCGACAGCGCGCGTGGCGGCGATCTCAGTCGAGACCTGCTGGCCGAGCTGGCGGCGGCCGAGCCGCTGGCGCGCGCCGAGCCGCGCAAGCCCCGCTCCGCCGAACCGGCTGTCGCGCCCGAGCCCGTGCCGCACTCCGTCCTGGAAAGACTCGAGTGAGTGGCGGACGCGCGCCGCCGGTCGGCGCGGCTCCTCGGCCAGGTGGCGCGCCGAATAGGTGAACGCGGTGCCCGTTGTGTATATTCATCGTTCTTTACAACGTGAATGCTGTGTTGCGGTTGGCGTCATGACAGCGCTGCGTATCCAATCAGTGGGTGCTGTCATCTATGATCGGAAGATGGGCGCCGAAACACCAGCATATAGAAACACTGGAATTGACGGGTCGCCCTTACCCGCGACAAACTGGATGTAAACTGCGGCGATTCGCAGTTTTTTACAATAATGTTCGCGTGGTGCTTGTTTCCTTGGTATCCTGTGAAATGTCGCTGGTCTGATGCTCTGGCACGAAGAGCCTGTTGTGCGTTGGGGTAGTGCTTACTTGCTTGGGATGAGACGTGGGTCAACCAACCGCGACTTTACGTGCTTTTTTCCACGTTACATAACTCTGGGAGCTGTGTCCGCGGGAGTTTGCACGAGAGCATCGACGACATATGGTGGGACATGCGGCGAGAGAACTTAACTCTGGGAGTTACGTCCGCAGGAGTTTGCACGAGAGCGTGAACGACATGTGGTGGGGCATGCAAAGAGAGAACTCAACTCTGGGAGCTGTGTCCGCAGGAGTTTGCACGAGAGCATCGACGACATGTGGTGGGGCATGCGGCGAGAGAACTTCAACACCCAGTGGAGCGTCGGCAAGCACATGTACGAGGTCAAGGTGAGATGTGTGACGAGGTCAGGCAGAGCGCTGTGTAGGGCGTTTAAATCGCGGAGGAGACTGTATTTTCATGTCATTTGGCTCTTGCGTCATATGGACGATGCTGACGGTCGAATGCTTGGTTTGTTCCGTTATCAAACTTGGCTGATCGTTAACGTACCTCGGTTTCAGCAAGGGCCTTTTCAGACCTTTAATGGTCGTTTCGTGCACGCTTTTGGACCAGTGTCATGTTGGCCGGACTGGGCGGCTGTCCGGCCGTGCCCACGTGCGGTCTAACCTGCGGTGGTCTCCCGCGTGCCAGGCGGGTATGGAAGGCATGGCCGCCACCATACGGAGTCTGCAGGCGGAGGTGCTGCGCCTGCGCGAGGAGAACCAGTACCTCGGCTGCAAGTTCTGAGTGGCGGCTCGCCTCCAGACCGGCTCCGTCCGTTTCCGGCTGAAATCCCGAGAGTTGGTCGGCTCCGCCGTCGGCAGACACCGCGGCGTGCGCGGTGCGCGCAGCTCGGCGGCTGAGATGGGGGGGGGGGAGGAATATCGCGCTCGACAAGGGGATGGAGAGGACCGCTTCGCAGGCCGCTCGTCGATTGCTCAGTGTACCGAGCCGGGTCCGCGCAGCACGCTGTTGTGTCATGCCGGCTGGCGGCGCGCCGCGGCTGCTCGTTTTGACTACACTTGAGAAGATGGCCTCATGCACGCGGTTTGTGACGCAGCGATGTGCTCAGCGGGCAGGCGCTGGGAAGGCGAGCACGCGCGGACACGCGCCGCAGGGCGCTCGGGCGGCACCAGCAGCATTCCATTGTTGAGCGGTAGTGGATGCCTGTGATAAAATCGAGGGCGGAGGTGTGCGTTGCGGTCGTCCTCGCGGGTGGCCTATTTGGAGCACGCATCATGCAGTCAGAATTTCGTGGGTCCTGTTCGGAGGTCGTGGATCCAATGAATATATCGCACCAACATGCTCGTTATTGTTTGAGGCCCCTTTCCGCCCGCTTGTTGACTGCCACACATTTTGGAGCGGAGTAAGTTGTCTTGAGATTGAAGCGCCCTACCCGTAGGACGCCTTTAACATGCGCCCCGGGTGATCGATTAAACGAAAAGCGTTCGGGAAGGGAACAAATGTGACATCCCCGGGATGCCGAAAGGTGAGAGATAGAGACCAAATGCACGGGGAAGGTTGGACTATTAAACTGATTCGAGTTTGTACGGGGTCTAGGTCAAGACCTTCGGGTTGAATAGGGTCAAAATACCAGATTTGTGTCGTAGTGCCCTTGGGCCCCACGCACTCGTGCGTGTTCTGATAGAAAAAGTTCCCTCTGTTCGAGTCGGGTCAGTGACCTTTTCGACCTTCCGTTCAAAATGACAAACATCAATATTACTTGCATGCATGCATAACAAACAATTGAAAATCAGCGTGGACATCTAAACGCAAGTTTCTAAGGCGAAAGCTTAAGCAAGGTCGTTTTGGGTCAGGTGCCTCCATTGACCTTTATGAAGGCAGAATAAAAACTGCTGATGCCTTTGTCAAAGAATATTGAATAGACGTCAGAAACTACCCCCAAAATAACCTCCAGTTGAGAAACTTTGGCTTTAGGTTTTGGCCAAGACCTGACCACACTTGACCCGAGGCCATTAGACTCAACTGTATTACTCATTTCCGTCTTTTTCACTGATCTGGCCTTCATGCCTGACGGTCTATAGAATCAAATACAATTCCAATTTCTGGTTGTGATCTCAGCCCGCCCTTATCCAAGGTCAGTGTATGCAGTGTATCGGTTGTAATCCTGATTGTAATTACCTGCATGTGAGGCTACCTCAAGGTCGTCTTGCTTTGTCTTTTTGGACTTCGCTGTCGCACCAGCGTGAAAGATTCCCGAAAAAATTGCCTCATCTTTCCAACCATAGGCCCGACTTTGACCTACTACAGGTCCCAGCCTTGAAGGGTCTATAGAATACCGCTCGCATGTTGTTGATAAAAAACACACACACGCACACACGTCTACACACACACACACACACGTCTACACACACACACACACACGTCTACACACACACACACACACACACATATATATATATATATATATATATATATATAATATATATATATATATATATATATATGCGTGTGTTTGTGTTCGCACACCATCAGGTTGGACGTTCCATTGTCCGCAGCTACACAAGGTTTTACTTCGCTGCGTACACCGGTCGGAAACTATTTTAGAGAACTGTGGTACGATACGTATCAAATAAACCCATCCCCCGCCCGAGCACAAGTGTAAGCAGGCTGTTACCCTTCGAAATAGCAAGCAGCAAGTAGATCCCAGTAGGTTCACGAGCGTCTGGCGCTGCACGGGGCACTGTCAAACACGTTACGATAGCTTGCCAAGTTGAAGTAAGCCGTGTGGTCATCCGTGTCTGAGGAGGCTTTCAGTCGGTGCACGACTGTACTCGCGCGTGGAAGGCGGTACGTCGAGTGTGTCGTGATAGGAGAGCCGCGCCAGAAGCGGGAACGTTACGGCCATTAGCAAAGCCTCCCGCCAAGCTCTGTCTAAACCCTGGAGGGTGGAATAGATGTCGCCACCAATCAGCACCGAGCCCAGTAGCGCAGGCCGAGGGGGGGGGGGGGCACAGGAGAGCACGTGCCCCCCGCCCCCTCTTAGGATCCGAGGTGCCCTTCCGGCCCTCGCAACCTACGATTAAGGGCCCGATTTGAGGGCCCAAAAGGTCTGGAAGGGCAGCTGGAGGTCCCATTCAGGCGCCCACTGGGTCGATAAGTATTCATATTTCGGTCAGACACCACCAGTAACGCAAACTCGGCTCCGTGGCGGCATGGGCCAAAGGGCCCTTTTCCCAAGCAGGGACAGAGTCGGAGCCAGCGATTTAGATTGCTCGGGGCCCCACGACATCTAGCAGGGGCTCTGCATTGTCAAGGGGCCCCGAGTCAGCCAGGGACAGTGTTCAAGGAGGCCTGAAGACCCTAGAGGGCCCACCGTTCGATGATCAAGGGCGCGATTAGAGGGTGTAAGGGCATGAAGGGTTGGTCGGCGTCTTATTCAGGAGTCCCGACCTGCGAAAATGGACCTTAAAATAACGGTCAGAGGGCCCTTTGTGTCGATGGGGGAACCACTGAGACGATACGGACCTATATATCGGGCAGGTACTACCGTATCGCACAGTCGGCTCCGTGACGATATAGGCCTGAGTACCCACTTACTAATCAGCTATAAAGCCGGGGCCAGTGGCTTACAGTGGTCAGGACCTTGCATCCGTCAGGGG